ACTGTTCCTTACAAATCCGACCGGCAAAAGGCCCAGGGGACGGCCAAGATTAACCTGGTGCAAATATATGCAAGGAATCTGTTCCAGACTGGATTTGTCTTTTGCCGATGCTCAGACTCTGGCACAGGATCGGGAACGTCGGAAGCTCTGTCTGACGTGTCTGCCTCCGCGACCTGAAAGGAGAAGCGGCGATGGAAGATGAAGACGCTTTATTAGTGGACCAAGCTTTTACCGGCTTTTGTCGATTACAGACATTCGTCTTACTGAAGGATTATCCCTCAGGAAGGACTTGTGCAATATCAGTTATCAGGAGGCGGATTGCAGGTAAGTGTTCCTTAATACAGATATTCAGTTTCTGATGTCTAAAAATTTCTAAAATATGTTTTTCATGGGAAGTTGTGAATCTTAAAGAATTGCTGTTTAAAGTTGCAGCCGCCCCTAATTTGTTCTCTAGATTGTGACTTGTTGACTCGTTCCAGGATCACTCATGATCAAATAATAACGAGCATTTAGATGCTGTTTCAGTTTACCGCTCGTTTGTCTTTTGGTATTTTCGTCTGTTTAGGACCTGCGTGTGGTTGACTGCTGCGGCAATGACTTATACATTTTCGTGGCATTGCTTGATGGCGTAATACACCGATTCGATAGGAACTGGAATTCGAGTCACTTTAAAGCACACAACGAGTCGATTTCTCTGATCCGTTGTCTGCCCTTCTCCAAATACCTTGCTTCGGTTGGCGTACGTTTTCAATTACAGGAGATCGCTATTGTAAGATTGTTTCCGCTTGCTATTTTCAGGAAGATGGACCCGGTGTCAATCCATATCTCAAAATCTGGTCCATGGACAGCAAAGTAAAGTTTTTGTTGAACATTGTGTTCGAATATGGACTTTTATAATGAAACTTCGGTGACATATTTCTGGTAATTTTATGGAAGGATCGAACATGCTAAAATGCGATTAGTCTCTTAGATTTTACAATTATATTATTGTTTCACTGTTTACATAGTCACTTTGCACACTGTAAATTAGAACTCCGATATCCGTGTTGCGATGAACATGGAGAAATCAAAGCGATGGATCGCTTTTCAGTAGGAAGTACAGCTAAAGGTATATTCATTCGGCAGTAAGATCTGCGACGAATCTTGAAGATTTTTTCTGATAAGACAGAGATGGTCAGGGGTTGAGAAACAGCCTTTTGCATGTAAAATTAATAAATAATATATCTTGTACTGTCTAGAATATCTTTCATTGCAAATTTATGCTAATGCACTGGGGACGACCATTGGTGCTGATCTTGAAAGAAAGCGTTATGAAATCATTTCACTCTCAGCTCTTCTTTTATTGAGAGGGCGACATCTAATTAACATGATCGCTGGAATACCAAAATAAATAGAATGCTAAGTCATGGTGAAATACAAAAGGAAGCAAAATAATTACCGCTACCGGCATAAAATGTTTTTATGGCAAATTACAAACATTAAACCCAGAGTGCAGAACATAATGTGAAAAGTCGAGAAACAGCACAATCATTTAGTACTTCATGGTTAGGTTATTTTCATGTAGGCGAACGAACGGTGTACTAGCGTTTCAGAACGTTGTGTAGCGCTGTGAATGTTCTATGCACATAGTATTTCATTGCATAATGCTCTATTAAATATGCAACGGAGGTAGTAGAAAGCGCTAGATTCAGAAGCAACCCGTGCAGTAATGAGGCATCAGATTCAGCTGTCGTAATCCGGCACTGTAATTAGTTACCATTGCTGTTCTCTTACTGATCAGCCATTTCTAGTGTGCCTTGCAGAGCGTTATCGATTGAACGAGTCGTCGTGACCATATTTTTGTTCGTTTTTAGACCGAAAAGGAAGGAAACCCGTTTTGCTTGCGCTGTTCAAACCTTATTCCTGGAAGTAGACCTGTGAAGGTAGATTCTTTGTTATTTAACCGCTGATTATTTTAAAGAGTACGGATTACAAGATCCTTTGATTTCCAGAGTTCGTTTATTAATGGAATTTCAAAAAAATCTTCCTGTTTGTTTTCCTTTCCTCGAATATTTCTGATACATAAAATATGAGATGCGCGACTGAAATGAGCTGCGTTATGAAGTCATGAAAACCAAGCGAACCTTTCGGTCTTTTGTTGTTCTTTTGGTCTTTGTCTATTCGTTCTATTTGTCTTCGGTCAGTTCGGTCTTTTTTATTCGTTATTCTTTAAATCTTGGTTCCTATGTGAAGAATTTCATGCTTCTGCCAGGTGGTTTTATTTCAGTCACGTCAGTTTTAATCTGTATATTAAGCCCCTACATTTTACTGCGTTTTTTCACGTCCGTGATGCGATCAGACTAAGCGAAAGAAAACCTGTCATACAGTAGTCAGTATTAAACTAGCTGATTTCGATTAAAGTAGTTCACTGGTTAGAATGTCAGGCTGACAGTTGAGCCATCGTGGCTTCAAATCTCGATCTGAACAGTTGGCCTTTATCCTTTCTAGGCAGGTTAATAATCAGCGTTTCGTAGAAAGAACGCATAGCATTACGTAGTATTCTTGCAACGATTATGCAGAAATTGCTTTCAAAAATTAAGCTCTAATGTCTGATGG